TGAATCTAACAGCAATGGTTATTAAGGAAGAATAATAAATAATTAAATTCTTAGGAGGTAGAATATATTTGTTATTACAGAAAATACATTTTAATGTTTTTTTAAAATTACTTAGTTTGATGTACAGAAAATAGAGAGAGCTAATATATAAATAGATAGTTTAAATGGACTTAGCATGGAGCATTCATTGTCTAGGAGGAAATGTGCCGGTGGAGTTTGCACTAGCTTGCACCCCATTGTAGGTGTAAGCTAAGCTAGCACATTTAAGTTACTATTCCGCATAATTCAATACTTCGTGGGGCATCTGCGATAATCATTGTTCAGGTGAATAAGGCAAACTCAGAATCATCAAGCCACTGCTAATGTAACATTTCATGGAAGTATGTGAAAAAGTATTCATTACGAAGAAACTAATCAGGAGTTAAGATGAATCAATTTAGTGCTTAAGAAAATAATATTTAGAATCCAAATCAAATAAAATGGAAGCAAGTACTAGACATCCAACTTTTCAAAATTCACAAAATCTAAAGTACTACAATTGAATTTATATTTGAATTTCTTTAACAATATACTACTATATATTTCATGGATATAAAATAATAAGGTTGATGTTGAATTATGCACAAATCTCCGGACTTGCATTAGAGATTATGCACTGATAAGATTATTTAATGTTTCCCTTTTGATTGTAATAATCCAGTATGATATGAGTTTTACATTCCTCATGGTTAACGTAGGAATAGTGAAGTTTACAGTAATACTTTTAGAGAAATGATTCAATTAGGTTTATTTTCAACTAAAATGTTGTTTTCTTAGAAATATAGTTTTCTGTAGAAACTAATGCTCTGCCCACAAAAGTAGAACAAGGTAAATTGGGATTATAAGATTAAATTAAATATTGTGGCCTGACTCTCTATTTCGAAGGGAAAGTTGGTTAGAAGGAACAATGGTTACAGCCGGCCACCTTTTTCTCTTGGTTTAGCATATTTTTGCTCTATTTCGTAAAGTATGGAATTTTGCTCTGATGATGTCTGTCAGAGTACAGACAAAATCTTAGCACAGTTTTATCGGGGTCGCAGGACGATGAGCCGAGGACTTCTTCGCACAATTCAACAATCCTCCTTCGGTTTCCGGTGAGATCACATCACAAATTCCTTCCAACGAACTTTTCCTTCGAAATAGAGAGTAATTCGATAATATTTTATTAAGGAATTCTTCAAAACCTAGTTTTTCTTCATATCTTCGAATAGGATATTTTTGCTGTTCTATCATGCGGTAAATTCAAGTACCTTAACCAATTTAATATAATGTGTGAGCATTTATATAATAATATATTTAGACTAAACCTAGAAATAACTTGTAACATAAATACTATCCCACATATTTTAGACTATCGGTTTTAAAAATCTATATATTTTCCATATACTGTATGCAGAAGCAATCTGCATCATATAGATTAGCTGAAATCCTCCATGTAGTGTTATTTATTTTTTTCAACTAAAGCTCTTAAGTTATAATGAGTACAAGACATAACTTTAGCAATTAATGTTAGTAATTTAGCTTTATTTAGCTTTTAAAAGCTTTAATAATGTATTCATGTTAGTGAATCCTTAAATCTTTATATTTCATAAAATTACTGGGGTAAAGACGGAATTGCAGTTTTTAGGCTTTATTAACCTGTCACGTAATTCGTAAACTCTAGCTTATTTATGTACTAAATATATAGAAGATAAATTTGAATTGATAATGATAAAATCTGAAAAGATATCTCAGCTAGTTACAGAGTAACTACTAAATATATCACAGCGATTATTGGATGGTACAGTATTTATGAAAACATTGATTGAATGCACAACTACTAATTATTATTACTGTACTTGTTTATATCATAAACAATTCCTTAACGATATGTAAAAGTTTTGATCAAATTTGCTAGGAGAAGATTGAGCATACAAAATAAAATTGTGTATGGAAAAGGAAATTTAAAAAATATACGAAAGCATCAATCACAGTATTATATGTTAATCAACGATATTCCAGAAATTTATTTAGTTGGGAAAAATACAAAACGCATAGTTTAGCAATGGATTGGTGCATAATGGTAATACAATTGTCCTCTTTATTAGTCATACTTATCTTATAATATAGTTTAACTAAGTCTTTTTTGTAAATTGTTTATATGATTCCATAAATGTTACATAATGATCCTAAATAATATTATTCGGATTAGAATTATAGCCAACTAACTTATCTTTTCCATCTGTAGGCTTTTATATAGGATTTATCATGATTTACCTTAATTTAACTATCCAATTTACAAACCTGGCTATAGTTTATGTAAGTACAGAAAGCTCACAAAAGTAAAAATAATTCTCCATTCATCATCATTCTCAATAATTGTCCAGTATTTTCAAAATTTATCTGTTTTATTCTATCTAAAAATATTGTGTACTTTGTTACAGCAGTAACTTTTCTAGACTTCATACTTAACAGGTTATGAAAATGACTTTATGACATGCAGAGCATGAATTTTAGTCTGAGTTTACTTAAAGTCCATTTCCCTTCTATTTTCATTACTTTGGCAGAGGCTGATACATTTGTTTCTGGACAAGTGGTCAACTATGACATAAACATCAAGACTTGATTTATTTATGGAACTAAAAATTTATCCATGAGTCATAAAGTCAAGCAGTGAGCCAAAGAAACTAGGACACATATTTAACAGGACGAATTATAAATTTGGTTTAAATAAAATCAAATACTTCTAGAGTTTTTGTAAAAGATTAGAAAGTGTATTGCTCCGTTTATGCAATTGAACTTTATTTAACATTTATATTATGTAGGGATATGAAAGCTGAGAACATAGCTCTTGACCGCTTAGGTCGCCCAAAACTCATCGACTTTGGTATGGCAAAATGGTTTGGCATTTCCAGTGAGCTCAAGCAGTCCGTAGCTCATAACATTTGCTCAAGCTCGATTTCTGGCTCTGAGGACCCTATATCTGAGATCTCGGTTAATTGCTGTCAGGCCAAGAGAAATGAATCCCAACCACTTTCTGGCGCGAGTTTTGCTGACAGGCTCTACATGAAGAAAAGGCAGTCAAATGATGAGAGCCCCTTATCAGCTGATGGACTAGGTATTGGTGCTTGTGGTTGCGCGCACGACCGACTAGCTGAGGTTGAAGCTGAGCTAAGATGTCCGCCAACAAAATACTACTTTGCTGCCTACCTAGCTCCTGAGATTTACAATCATCCCGAAGTTTGCAATCAATTTGTTGATTCCTGGGGTTTGGGATACATACTAGTTGAGATGATCCTAGGATATGGCATGCAAGTTTTTATCTTCATTACGGCATATTTATAAATTTTGTCGGATTAACTTCTATTCCTCATGCATTAATTAAAGTTATATAAAATTATGAAGAAATTCTAGATATCAAACATTCCCATAATAAATTGATTTTGGCTTACTTTATATTTCGTTTGAAGAGATGAGTGGAAGGGATTGGGAAATTAGCCTCTTTAGAAGTCGAAGAAGGATTGTATTTTCGTTACTTCCGAATGATAAGACCAATCCTAATTTGATGTAAACGATTGCATTTTTACATTGATTTTGTTTAAAAGAATTGCTTATTTAAGCAATTTAAGCTTAATAAATTGGAATTTTCAGTTATATTTACCTCTACTCTACAACGTATATTGTACATTTGTATTAC